ATATATATATATTCTAGTTTAAAGCTATTAGTGAAACAAGTACATTTACATCCCTGATGAAAAGAAGTATAAACTTAAGCAGATTATAATAGGCGACTTGCAGTACTTAATGTAACCAGTAGGTGGCAGASAGTAAACATCGTCTCTGCATAATGACGTCAGAGGGATATTCGAAAAAGAAGCGCCAGATGAAAACATCCGGCCTCAGCGCGGTATATGAAGTTAAAATTTGCGAAGCTGAGATTGTTTGCCGTATTTATCAGCGAGTATGTCCCTGCTGAAGCCGTTTAGTAAACTTCCTGGTCTAAACACAGCTAGCATCTTGGTAAGTTTTATTTTTGACGGGTTGAAGAGTAGCAATGCACAGCACTGTTGTAGTGTTGGTTCACTTACCAACCATGATGCTAACAGCTAACAACATAACGCCAGGAGTCAGCCTAAAAATAAAATCAAACATGACAATGATTTATGTTTTGATTGCACAAAACCGGGGGACGTGTGCAGTATTTTATAAGAGTAGTGTAAATGTATTACTCTGCAGCATTAATAAGTGGCAGTAAATTTTACTTGCAGTGTGTCATGTGTAGCAATTGTCTTTGTTTTGAAGAAAGAAGTAGAAAATTAGACTAATTTATCTGCTGTATCAACCCTACATAAAACTTAAAACACATTTATTTATAAATTAAAGCTAATTTATTTATCTACCAGATAGCTGTGTGTTCAAAGCTGCGTGTGTTTTCCTGCAGCTGGTGGAGGATGAGGAGCAGTTCCAGCAGAGTTTGGCAGATGTCTTGGTGAAGGAGACCAATGTTACAGTGACTGTGTGAGTAATGTTCTCCTCATCCTGCAGACTTAAGCAGTTATATTTAACAACAAGAGCTCATGAAATGCACAAACTGAAAGAAAATGTTTCTCTTTGTAGTTTTTAGGTTACAATGCAGAAAATAAGAGAAAATGTGTTGATTTTCTTAATTAAATGTAAGGTTTGGCAGCATTTATAGCAACAACTGCTGCTACAACCTAAGATTCCTCTATACTTCAACAAGATGTGAGCTGTTGTAATTTGAACCCTGAATGTACAGTATTCCTGAATAAACTTGGTTTATAAGCTGTAGAAGAAGTCATGGCAAATCATGAATAATTTCCATACAATTTTAAATGAATGAATAAATTATTACAACTTTCACCTGTTCAAGCAAGGCACACTTACTTTGTGGCTAATAAGCCATACTTTCTCACTGTACCTGGCAGGAGACTGGCTAAGAGTCTCCCTCTGCCCATGGATGAGAGCCGTCCAAGGATTGACCTGGTGGTGTTCATCATCAATCTGACCTCAGAGCTCAGGTAACTTTCAGCTTCAGAATATAATTTACGATCCATGTGAAAACACAGATGAAACATCTAGTCTCTGCCCCCCCACCCTCTTTCTGATAGTTTTCAATCTGCAGAAGCTTCTCTGAAATATTTGGACCCTGGATATTTTCTTGGAAAAGCCTGCTTCATGGTAACTAATGGTATGGAAATGTTTCATTATTTCCGGTTACTTATTTTTATTTTATTTTATTTTATTACATACAATCATGAGTTGGATCATGAGTCTGTCATGACAGTTTTTCTCCTGTAATTTCATATTTTCCTGCACAGTATCTTGCTTTTATTTAAATTTTTATCCAATTTAATCATCCAGTACAGTAATTATTATTCTTATTTTTATTTTTGATCTATGTTTATTTTTTATTGTTACTATCTTTAATTCTATTATATTGCTACAGTTGATAATACACATAGCAATATACTGTTTCTGTGGATTGATGTATGTATCTGCTGCTGATACTACACCTGAATTTCCCCCGCGGCGGACAATAAAGGCTGTTTCTATTCTATTCKAAAGTAGAATTTGAAAATGAATGGAATGAATATGAGCTCTTAGAAGTGATTRTTGATACACCTCTAATACTGAAGACCTTTTACCTCAGACCTTTGTGATTTTTAAAAAAAAAATTATCTTCTTATTCTTCTGTCTCTGGCAGCTCGTAAGGCTTCAGTTCCCACAGAGCGTGTGGATGCTGTCAGAAAGTTGGCTACATTGCTCCACTGCCCTCTACTGTTTGCAGAGGATCAGGTTTGTGTTCCAAACATTTAGGACTTTTTACACACTATACAATTTTTACTACCCTACCTTTATAATATACAAGGGTCTGAATGTGTGTGTGTGTGTATATATATATATATATATATATATATGCACATTAGGAATATACATATATGCACATTAGGAATTTCCTTACATTTTGTTTGGATTTTTATGTTTTTTGGCCCATTGTGGGGTCTTGACCTTAACTTCAGGAACTAGTGTGTCATAGATAATAGAAGGATATATGTAACTCTAGTCTGTTTTTGTGTCATTGAAATCTCTTCCGCCTGTTGTTCTTCCTCTCCAGACTTCAGAGGGTGTAATCGGTGCAGCTGAGAGGCTTCTGACCATCCTGAAGGTATCAGCTGGCCTCGTTCCAATGACGACCGCTCTTTACCTGTCAAACTTGACACGATGCACTTTGCCGCCAGACATCGACCAGCCAAGCTTTGACTAGCTCCTTTAAATCGTTTGTTCGGACTGAAAACCTCTCATGTTTATATTTATTTTTAGTTAATAATAATAATGAATTTTATTTGTAACACACATTTGTTATCAAAAATCTCAAAGTGCTACAAACATCAAGTGGCAGAAGATAAAAGATGTAAAATCCATTTATTATTAAGTCATAAGAGAACTGTCTTAACATTTTGTCACATTTTAAACAAAGCAGGTGATGTTTCAAACAGACCTGTYCTGCATGTAAAACCTGAAGCACTTTTTAAAAGTTTAACGGAAAATTTATTAATTCATTTGGTTTTAAAAGATTCACACAAAGGCAAATATCAAGGGACGCACTTGGACAGATGTAATGTGCAGCATCCAGACACATCTTACTGAGAGCCAGGAGGAAGCGTGAGGTGAAACCTGGTCCTTCTGTCAGAACTGCAGCTCCCCTCTCATCAGCCAGCAGGTGGAGCTGCTGAGCGGTGCTGGTCCTCACTGCTGGACTCAGGTGGCTGAGGAAGGACACAGGTAAACATCTTCCTGTTGATTCTGTAGCTTCTACATGTCTGCATAGAGCTTCATTCAGCATGTTGACCTCACATCAGTCCAGTGTTGAGCAGAATAATAAACTAGATTAATAAACTAAACATTATTAGTCGTAATATTTCTGATGTTACTACTATGTGAGAACAAAATGTGTTCCTCACAGCAGTCTAAAGTAAGTAATAAATAATTAACTAATTTAAATCTCCAGAGCTCAGAATGCATCCTTTATGAGAGCAGGTGTTTGGAACAATAAGCAGAGGATGTGATTGTGGGTCTGTGGTCTCTAAAGATGGGGCAGCAAATTTATAAAAGATGGCCAAGATTGGCCTCCATACTCCACTTAATGGCACACCTGCTGAGTCGATTTAGGCCTGTTGAAACTTTTTGGAAAGTTCATTTTATATCAGTTTTATATGTATTAGTTTATTTATTAGTTTATGAGTTATCCACTGTCTTTAATATGATACAGTGGTTTGCAAAAGTATTCATACCCCTTGAACTTTTCCATATTTTGTCACATTACAACCACAAACATAAATATATTTCACTGGAATTTAATGTGAAAGACCAACACAAAGTGGTATACAATTGTGAAGTGG